AAGAACCATCACAAGAACCATCACAAGAACCATCATAAGAACCATCACAAGAACCATCATAAGAACCATCACAAGAACCATCACAAGAACCAACATAAGAACCATCACAAGAACCATCATAAGAACCATCACAAGAACCATCACAAGAACCAACATAAGAACAATCACAAGAACCATCACAAGAACCATCACAAGAACCATCACAAGAACCATCACAAGAACCATCACAAGAACCCAACAACACGAGCTGAGACCAAGAGGAGCAAAGATTTAAAAAGATGTAAGAAACTAAAAGAGATAAAAGCAAATAAAAAGAGAACAGCAATAAGAAGGTAAGAGCAGAAAAAGAAATAGAAACAAGTGGTTAAAGGATCAAAAAACCCAAAACTATAATATTAATAAAAATACAAAGTAAATATAAATATGAAACATAAATAGACAAAGTAAGATAAGAAATGACCAAGTTAAAACATAAGAGGAGTTAAGATAAGAGCATAAATAAAAGGACAGTAAGAAGTAAAAGAAGATAAAAATAGTAAAACCAGTAAGAGAAGACATTAAGAAGACGACATCACATAAAAGCAAGTCTGTAAAAGTACGTTTTAAGAAGGGATTTAAAAGAATTGAGGGAATCCTCAAGTCTTATCTCCTCAGGGAGGTCGTTCCAAAGTCGAGGGGCCCTGACTGAAAAGGCCCGGTCACCTTTAGTTTTAAGTCTCGACTTTGGAACGACCAGGAGGCCCCCACCTGAGGATCTAAGACTGTGGGCTGGCTCATATGGTGTCAGTAGCTCTGTTATATAGCTTGGAGCCAGCCCCGTCCGTGCTTTAAAAGTAATGAGTAAAATCTTAAAATCGATTCTAAAACGTACAGGAAGCCAATGTAATGAAGCTAAAATTGGAGTGATGTGATGTCGTCTGTTAAAACCAGTAAGAAGTACATATACATGCATATGTATTTCCTTACCTTTTTACAAGAGGTCAAACTATTGGTAGCCAACCTACAGGAGAAGCTGTTTGATATTCAAAGTTGCAGCCTGTGAGGCCAGATTGAGAGATGCAACCGGACCGACATGAACTCAAAAGCGAGACTGAAAACGAACATTCAATCCTGCTTTGGCAGAAACCGCTTGACTGGGTAAAGAGGAGGAGAAGTGAGAACACCTCTCTCAGGGGACATTAACTCTGATTTTACAGCCTGGATTTTATTGCAGATTAATTGCATAGCAGCCGGTTGATTTGATTTAATTCCATCATTCAAATGTCACCATAATTAAGTACTAATCATTCCCAAAGTTCACCTGTTAAATGTCTTGTTATGTGTGGGAGTTGAGGTCGGGATGTAATGAATGCAGATGACACCAATTAAGTTCAGTGTTGGCACTTCAGGTGTGTCTGATTAGTCAACACCTTTTTCACAAAGAAATATGAGAGCTGATGAGGAACATGTAAGTGACAATGTGCTTGTGTTTCTACTAATGATAATTATACATTTCATTACTTTTTTAACAGTTTTAAACCCCTGTGAGTTTTTTTCTTGTTCTCTTTGACTGCATCAGTTCAAAGTGGATCTAACACTGAACAAAATCAAAGAGCGAACAAATCCTCCCAAAATGATCCAAATGGAAAAACACATATTCAAAACGAAATGCAAGTTCACATCAGTAGTTGATACTTTGTACAGGGATCATTTATTCTGAACATTGAACGTGCCATGCCACAGGTCTTATTGGGATATAGGTTCTCCTGTTTGCAAATCACTGATGCCATTAACTCCAGATGTTTCAACACAAACTTTGTCCTCAGACTCTTCCGAATGAAATAGTTTTTGTAGTCTGTAAATTGAACTTTTATTGTTTTAAACATGGAAATGTGCTTAGTTTGAGAGATTTGACAACACCAACAGACACAATTCAGTTAACATCATGGAACTGACAAAACGTGTGAGTCAAGACAGAATCTAGTCTAGCTACTGCACCAGAAGGTCAAATAATATCACTTATATATGAAGGCAGAATGACTTTTCTAATCATTTCATTCATTGGTTTGTTTCCACTTTACAGAAGTTTAAAAAAAACCTTTAAGTGAAAACTCACCCTGAAAAGGCGTTTGCTGTTCTTAAAGTCACTCAGTACGTTTACAGACGAGTTAAGGTTAAAGCCTGATAAAGTCATGTGATTGGACTACTGTGCTCGTCCCAGTATACAAGTCTCCGGGGAGAATCGATTTATTGACAGAAGTATGTCCCGCTCCGCCACGGTAGCTTTCCATTTAGCCCCCTCTCAGCTAGTTACTATTGGACCTTCTTGTGGTTGACCAAAGCTGCCAATACATGAGCTGTGTCTCCTCGTCTGTCCAAAAATGGGTAGTTCTCTCTCTTGCGCTCGCCACACTGATCCTTGTCTTCTCTTTTGCTTTCTTCTAACCTCTTCACCTCGGCCCGTGCACTTGGTACGATTTCAGTGGGACCAACAGAATAAATTGACTTTTTCTAAACTTTGAGTAATTGTACTGACTGTTGTGTTCCTTGTGGTTGAGTACATAAAAAATAGACCCACATGTGGAAAGGAGCGAGGATAATGAGTTGTCAGGCCGTACTTCATGTCTACCAAATGTTCAAGCGAGACCAAAAAGTTTGAGAACATTGGATGGATTAAACCTGCTTCAAAGATTCCTTCAGTCCAACCTCGACTCTCCCCATATAACTCCTTCACCTTTTTACCCAAGCCACCTTGTTGATCAGATCAACTCCAGCAGAAATGACAGTGAGCGTCCCAGATGTCCAGCAGCCTGGTAATCACTTTAGATAGGTCTGTCTTTTCTTAACTGTCTGCTGGAAGGTCAGCAACTCACCATATGATTAGTCTGCCTCCACTTTGTGTTGCACAAAGCAAGTGAGTCACACATTGTCAACAGAGCGACGTCTGACTGTCCCTGCTCGAGTTAATGAGTGATGAAGTCCTCAGCTGAAGAACAAGGCTCCTCTCTGTGCTGACTTGAGTGTGTGTGAGTTAATGACTAATTACAGCATTGTTTTTACCATTACCTATCAAGGTGAGTGAGTGGTACAGATGGTTCGGTTAGAGCGCGACAGCTGACCTGACGGACTCTGCTGCATGGGATTGTGTCATCGGCCAAAAATGGAACCCAGTGGAACTGTTTACATGCGACCTGCGTTAGTCCTTGTTGAATATCTCAGCTTGGTGTTTCTGAGCAGTCTGTGATGACTGTTGTGACCAACTATTGTTCACCAGCAACAGGTGTGGAGGGGTCTTGTTGAAACCTGCAAAAATACTGGAGAACTGTTTAATGCTGTGTGCATGAGAAAACGTCAGTGGACCATGCAGCAAGAGAATACGTCCACAATCAGTGTGTAGGCTGTACTCGGAATTCTTCAACACAGAGCAACACACTCCAGTTGCAAAGGTTAAAATCAGAAGCTCGGGGTTACAGACACAGGCAGGTGGTGGTGTCAAAAGGGCGTCAGCTTGCAGCTTTGGACTTGACCTCTGATTGAAGCCTCATGTAATATAGGAAGTATTCTGAAAACGTCATGTTGACCTCGACTTGTGCGTAGTTTGAGGCTTTTTTTTTCCTCTTACTTTAACGGTAAATCTAGGAGCTGATATGAAACACATGCCTTGTCATCACTCAAACACCCGAAAGTAGACTGAAAGCAAAAGCTGATAAACACTGTTTTTTCTGTCTGAATAGGCCTAAATGCTTATCTTGAATAAGAAGGGAATTAATTCTTGTCAGTTTTTGCTTAAAATGAGTGAGAAACCGAGAGAATGAGTCTCCGAGTGAGGGAGGGAGAGAGAGACAGGTATTGCTTCAGAGCGTGTTGTGGAATGTGTGGTGGGGTTTTTGTGGTTTGCAAAGTGTTCGGTAAGGGGAGGGACCGAAAAACACTGCCGAGCTGCTTCTGAGCTGCAGGTCCCTCCCCGAGCATGGAGTCAGTCTTTGCTCCCTTTCTCTTAAAGGAACAGCGTCTCTCTGGCCTCGGTCTTCTATCAGTCTTGTGCCTTCTTCTGTCTGTTCTCTCGTCTTTGCTCATGAGGTTCATGTTGACCCACAGGCACAAAGTGACAGATAACACGGACTGTAGAGATCGCTATCTGTTTCCACTGATGTTATTACTCTGTTGGTTTCCCCCAGGTCCAATGTGTGGTCAGTGAAGTGTCCTAAAAGAGCAGCATGGCAGTGTATCAGTTGAGCGTCTGGGTGAGATGAGGTGAGTCAACAGGCTGAAACGTTTGTTTTTTAAAGGCCTTACCTAGAACCAAAGTGTGTTGCTAATGGTCCACCCAGTACAGGCCAAGGATAAATAATTTTTTTCAGTAACTCATGACATAGCTGTAGCCAAATATGTCCAAACTATGTCCTATTATTTAACATTTCCATCTAGCTACTTGTCTATTTTCCAGGTTAATTTAAATATCAAACTTTGTAGAGCAGTCATCTTTCCACTGAGGTTGTCAAAGTGTTGATACTTTGCAACTTTTTAATACCATGTGTTGTAAATTATACTATCTCTGTTGTTTAAACGATTGATAGTATTGAAAAGTACAGAAACAAACAAAAAACATGTTACATAAGACAGCTACGTAAGAGAGGAATAATTCTATTAAAGATGGCAGGCGATCTCCAGCACATGAATTCCACACATAAGCAGGAGTTTGCCTGCAGTTTTTTTGTTGTAAAAAAACAAGAAATGACCCAATATTGGGTGCCTAGGACATCTATTTTTGTCGCCATGGTAGCAAAACAGGTATCTATAATTTGATTTTGACCAGAAGTTATCAAAGTTTAAAAATCTGGTTCAGTGACAACTTCTTTTAACCCCATTTTCCATGTTTCATTCTGAAATCCAAAAAAAATGTCTAAAATGTTTTATTCTTTTCTCCATCAGTGTCACCTGTAAGAAATGTGAGCTCCACTGACAAACAGACACAGCTGTCCTCCAAAACCAGACCTCCACTTCAATCACCAGCCAATCAAATGCACACAGACAATAAACTGGCCAATCATGGCAAGCAGGTCACCAGTGACAGCCGATCCCAGATACCTGGTGTAAACCAGCAGGCTCAGCAGCAGCAGCAGGGAGCCGCCGGCCACCTGGGTCCAAAGGGCGTCGGTGCCGGGAGCCATGGCGTCAAAACCAACCAGATCTCCCCCGGCAACCCTGGGCTGAAGGCCGTCAGCCAATCAGTGAGCAGTGTCGGAGGGATGCTGAAAACCAAATCAAAGCGGGAGCGGAGTGTCTCCAATGACTCTGGCGAATCAAGAAATGCCATTCCTCCAGCTGTGGAGACAGATGCCAAAGGAGGTAAGGCATTCAGAGTAAACTGCGTCAGCACCTGAGACGTTCACACGCTGTGTTTCTGTTCTTAGTGTGCAGAAGTTCACTTCCTTTCCCTCCCTATCAGCCCAATCTCAACCCGATATACCAGATAGCATGTATTCACCTCCTCCACAGCAGGAAGTGAATGTAAGGACTGAGAGGACAGAAGAACTTGTTTTCGCTCTTTCTGAAAATGCCCTGACCTTTCAGTGAAGCGGCAGAATTTCCCCTCTGCTTTTTGATAGTGTGTGCTGTGCCGGCGCTGCGATGACGTGTCTCAGAAAAAAAGCATCTTCGCTTTCAGTCGAGCTCAGAGAGACAAGCAGGTCAGAAGGTTGTGAAAAAGTGAGAGGATGTTATTAAAGCAGGAGACAGTGAGTGGGAGGGAAGATTTAAGGTACATTTGTGTGTTTGTTTTTTGTTGATGTGGTTAAGGAACAAAGTGTTTAATTTGCATCTGTTTGCTGTCGTTTATTTAAGATGACTGTAGGTGAAATTATTCTGATTTCATGAAACTTTACTGGCCATGACTTGAACCTTCTCTTGAAACACACACAACAACACACGCATGCACTCTCACACACACCCTGACGCACAGAGGGAGAGGTGTGGTCTCAACACAAAGAACGACAGAGGCTGAAAGAGGAAGAGAATGAAAAGGTAGGGTGGAATCGTTTCAAGGGAAATCGTCTCCCTCTGTTTGACCTCCCACCTTCCCACACGCAAAGGCACACGCACACAAACAGCACACACACTCACTCCCCTTCTCTTTGAAACCTGCCTTTCCTTTCCATCAAATGATTCTGCCACCAAACCTTGAAACCTGTAGAGAGTCGGTGACAAACATTGTGAACTTGTAGCGGCAGTTTCGCAGTAATTGCTTTTCTTGTCAGCATAAACCAGTAACTGTTGAAAACAAAGCCACCCATTGAAAACAAAAGATATCTCCTTACATATCTCCACTTTGTGTAGAGATAGAAGCTTTTTGTCTGCTGTCCTTTTCTATGAATTGTCAACTTCCTTCCTCACTGTACATTCACAGTATTTCAAGTCTGTGGTGACTGATCATCATCTGACAAAGTCGGTGACTTCTTTGATATCACTTTTTGGTTCTGCTGCTCCTTCTGCAGGTCACTTTTTGAAAATAGCCCAGCTGCTACAGGTTTCTTGCAGCTTTTTGCACCCACTGGTGGACGGCAGTTTGTGCATCCACAATATCATTATTGTGCAATGTCCTCAACACGGGCTCAACAACATGCACCTTTCATACTGCTGTGAAATCACTGATTTAACAATTAAGTTAATATATTCTAAAATAAGACAAAACCTGTATTAGTCATTTGAAGTTTTTTTCCTCAGTGTTCACTCATGTTCGACTTTTGTTGCACAGGCAAAAAGAGCACATTTGTAATCATGTCATTTCTGACCTTTTTAACAGCTTTTCCAATAAGAGCAAAAGCATCATTTCTGGCCACAACAGTTGGGAGCATGTCGGCAGAGCAAACTTTTCCAACATGGGTGTCTAAACCTGAGTTCACATCCTAGGTTTCTAATGATTTCAAATGTTGGCACAGATCAATACCATGGCTTTGTTTAACACAGTCCATCATTTTTTTTATGGCACGACTGTGGTGCTAACATTGCATAATAATGCAGGAAAATATTGATTTGCCATTAGACATCATATTGAGTTTTAAAGTGATGTACAACTATACATGAAGCCAAATACTGGGACGCTCTAACTCCCAATAACTCCAGACTGCATTAAAACAGAGCGTTGTACATTTTCTTCTGTCTTTTGAAAAAAAAAAAAACCTTGGTGTGTTTATACCACAAGACTGTTCAATCAAAAAGTGAATGGACACATATAATACCCTTCTAAGGACAATATTGTGACAGTTGTTACTTATGTGTGTCGTATCCTCCAGAGGGCGTTATGCGCAGTAAGCGGCGCTGTGTTCTGGAGAAGAAACAGCCATACAGCGGAGATGAATGGTGCTCTGGACCCGACACAGAGGAAGATGACGACAAGCCAAGAACTGCAGCCCCACGTGAGTCTCATTGTTGCCTGAATGTAGCAGTCCTCACTAGCATCAGCTATATTGTGTCCCAAACTGTGAAAGGCTTCATGAATTACTTGTAGAAATCCCCTGTCATGTCTCGGGAGGTTTTCTCTGAAGACAACAGGTTAGAGTTGTGAATTAAACATGGATGTTTTCAGATCTGAACACACACTGAAAGGAAGAGGATGTCAGCTTTCAGCACTATACTATCCCTTTTCTCTTCTGACTTTACATCTTTTAGCTCCATCTAGTGTTAAGATGTTGAAACCCCAATGGGTATACTTGTATTGCAATTATATTTCAAGATAGCATTATGAGTATTTAAACCAGTGTGTTTCTGATTTTTCTCAGGAGAGTGTGGGCTGGCAGGTCAAATCCAGGGGCTCTCTGATCGTCTGTCTGCAGGGCCGTTATCTGAACCTGCAGCTGCTGTAATGGGACGTAGCGTGGGTCCAGGGCTAAAGGCAGAGCCACCTCAGCCTTCACAACAAGTGGTGTATGTTTTCACAACCAGCCTAGCCAACAGGTAGGAGTACTACAGTATAAATAGGCATGACTGCAGACATCAAAAATGACATTTTCTGTCCATAATCTATCAGTTTTATAGCTCTCTTATCAAAATCTACTAATTAAAACTCATTTATCTAACTGCTCACTAACTCCATTTGTATTTGTTATTTTACAGTGCTGCAGAGGCAGTAATAAAAGGACAGAGTGATTCCATCCTTCTGTTTCACCAGCAAAATGTTCCACACACCAAGCTGGAGCAGGTCAGACATTCACAGCTAAGCGGCAATTTCAACAAAATGTCAAATACATGCTTAAGCTTGAGAGAACAAAAGTGTTTTTCAGTGTAACAACTGAAAGTGCAAAGCATGTTCAAATGTATATTTGGTTAGTTATTTTTGGCGCAGATGTGTCCTTGTTCCCTTTTTTATTAGCAGTTGTTCTGACTGATGTGAACATTTGAACCGAGAAAGTAAATACAATATCCTCAATTTCTTTCTTAAATTCAATGGTATACACTTCATTATTTCTGATGAAATTACAAATTGTGTCTCTATTTTTTGTGAGAGACACACACACATTGGCCTGAAAGAAAAACAACTCACAGACATGCATTAATTTAAGGATGTCAGAGTGAGGGGGCTGCACATGTACTGGCCACCCATATTCATATATTTTTCATGTATTTTTTTTTTTGTCACAGGGCCACGCATCAGGGAAGCTTCCTAACCTATCTGAAAAGGTGAACTCCAGCAGCTCTCCACCCATAGGCACCCCTAAATCTCAAAGTGGAACTCCACGGCCAGCCTCTGCAGGTGTTGTAGGCCCATTGCATCCTGCAGGGACACCGACGTCGGCTGGACACTCGGATAATGAATCCTCTCTGACCAGACCTAACAGCATTATTGCCCATAGATCAGAAGGGGGGAATGCAACCACATCAACAGGCCCAGGACCAGGAGGTGGGGAAGGTGCAGGAGGTGTAACACTTCCGGTTGCCACTGTTTCCCCATCTGGGAGTCCTTCTATCCTATCTGCACACCTTCAGAGTGATACAGGCCTGAGGACTTGTCCAGGGAACTCAGATTGTCTTTCCAAAGAACAGCTTGAGCACAGGGAGCGCTCTTTGCAGACACTCAGAGACATAGAAAGGCTGCTTCTGCGCAGTGGGGCGGGTGGAGGCCCTGGTGACACTGTAGGCTCCAATAACAATGGCAGTAATAACTCCTCCAACTTAAATAATAACAATAATGCTGATAGGAGCGGTATTCTTGAAGACAATGACAATGATACTAATAGTTCTGGAAACATCAGTAGTGGAAATATGCTCTCATCAGCCTTGGCACCAATGGGAGGAATGAAGAAATATGAAGAACCTCTCCAGTCCATCATTTCTCAAACACAGTCCCTGGGTGGACCTGGTCTTGACAGCCCTCAAATGGACTCTCAACATAATCTGCCACAACACCCCCATCACCAACTGTCTTCGCCTGGGATCGACATGGGTCCCCTACTTGGACCAGACGGGCTGACACCAGAGCAGATGGCCTGGAGGAAACTCCAGGAAGAATACTACCTAGAGAAGAGGAGACAACAGGAAATGCAGCCCCCCAACCATCCCCAGCACTTTAGAATGATGAGTGAAATTGGCATGCATGGAGGTCCAATGATGATGAGAGGCCCCCCTCCTCCATATCACAGCAAGCCTGGAGACCACCAGCAGTGGGGTCCTGCCAATATGATGGGAGGAGGGATGGGTGGAAATGCGCGGTTGATGGACATGCACCAAGAGGGACCCCGTGGCCCAAGGTTCCTAGGACAGATGCAGAGAGGGCCACCTGGTGGAGGTGGATTTCCTGGTAATGCAGGGGGAGTTTTATCAATGGAGGGTCTAGGACCCCAAAGACCCACCAGACCAGGGATGATTTGGATAGATGATATTCCCAACAACATAGGGGGTGGAGGTCCCTTTCATGGCTGTTACCCAGGTGGACCTCCGCAGCACTTGCAAGGGGACCCTGAGCATTTATTAACACGTGAAGAAATGTGTCGGATCATGGAGAAACGGCAGTTGCAGGGGCTTCCCAGGTTTGAACTTGAAAGGTTAGTTAAACAGCAACAACAGGGCAACATTGGATCAAGAAGTATAGATAATTCTGGTGGCCCAGACTTTGCAAATTTAGGAATGGGCCGGGGTCCACCTCCCAACCGAGGTGATCCTATGGACTTCCCTGGCTCACGGGATATAATGGGCTCTCCTGGAGGTGGTCCCCAAATGAGAGACTTAGTGGATTCTCCTTTGGGGAGCAACCTAACAATGAACATGAACCAACAGATGAATATTCAGCAACAACAGCAAATGATGCTATCTCAGAAGCTCAGAGGGGGTCCTGCAGGAGGGGCGCCTTTAGGTGAAATGTTTAGTCCTGGAGAGATTTCTCGAATCAGGGCTACACAGAATGGACGAGGAGGAAATAAGGGAATGATCCCTGGACCTGATGGGCCTTTTCAGTTTCGTAATCAAGGCCCCTTCTCTGGGGGTCAGGTGGAAGGACCATACCTTCAACAGCCTGGCCCTGAGATGTTTGGGGCTGATCAGCAAGGTCCTAATCAGATGGGGGGAACATCGCGACTTAGTCATATGCCGATGAGCGGGGGCCTCAGGGGAGCAGACCTCGGCCCTCGGCACCTGTCTGATCTAGCAATCAATGTCAATCCCCTTACCTCTCCTTCAGTGCCTCCTCCTCATCAGCTTAAATCTCCATCCCTCAACCAGGAGCCATCTCCTCTTTTACCTTCACCCTCAGCTCCAGGACTGAAGTCACCCTCACAGATCTCCTCTGCTGGGCATCATCCCCCTCTTCCCCCTGCATCTGGAGCTGGGACTCCTTCCTCTTCTTCCATGAAATCCCCCCAGGTAATGGGGTCTTCCAGCCTTGTGATGCACTCTCCGTCTGCCTCTCCCGGACGACTCAAGTCCCCAGCAATGGCCTTGGGCTCTCCAGGGTGGGCATCTCCAAAAACTGCTCTTCCAAGTCCAGGTGGTCCAATCGGTGGGAAGGCAGTGGGCAATGGAGGAAGTAGTTCTACTGAGACAGGTACGGCTAGAATAAAAAGATGATTTTATCACCCTAGTAATGCTGTTCTCTGTACTTTTGCGACATTAAACTGTTTTTTTATTGTTCTTTGCAGGCCAATCACTTCCCCCCAGGAGTTCCAACTCTACCCCTATAAGCCAGCCTGGATCTATGAATCCAAGTATGCCATTTAACTCTTCTCCAGATGCCCCACCAACTCAGAATCCTTTATCTCTAATCATGTCTCAAATGTCTAAGTATGCCATGCCCAGTTCTACTCCTCTCTACCATGATGCAATCAAAACAATTGCCACCTCTGATGATGAGATGATGCCGGATCGACCTCTTCTATCTGGTGTCAGCATTGGAGGTAAGAAAACGAGGATTCATTCTGTTACAGCCCAAAACTTCACAGTTTAGGGCTATACGTAGAGAGATAAGAATGGAATGGTCCTGGTTCAATGTGTCATTTGCAAATTGGTGCCATCAAAAGAAAGACTGGATAAATAAATATAATGTGTTATCCCTTAGACTGGTGTTAAATTGGCTACAGAACCCTCTCTCAGCATAAACCCACAGATAATGAAAACATTCAAGTCAGTAGTCAATAGTGTGAATTTTTTTAATACTCTGGCTTTGTTTTATCACCAGGAAACATGGGCAACCCCCAGACATCCCAGATCCTTGTCTCCCAGGGCTCCATTGGCCCCCATAGTGACCCACAAAGTCCCATGGGTATGGTAAGCCATGGTCAGCAACACATGTCCCATGATGCCTCAGGACCTGTGCTCTCATCCCCAAACCATATGGGCATGCCTGCCATGAACTCTGCCATGATGGGAGGCGGTGGACCTGATGGAATAGGGCTGTGCAATATGTCACCTATGTCACATAACCAAATGGCAGGATTTCCTCGCATTCAGCAACCATCTCATGGGCCCATGCACTCCCCTATCGGAGGGATGTCACAGAATTTTTCTCAGTCAAATGAGGATATTCTACAATCTCAGCAGTTACACATGCTCAGCAAAGGTCATCCCCACCAACGCCCCTCCCACCCTTCAGACTCATTTTCTTCTTTGCCCATGGGTGATGGCCCGGATCTGAGTGAAGTCATACGGCCTTCTCACACGGGAATCCCCGAGTTTGATCTCTCCCGCATCATTCCTTCTGATAAACCCAGTAGCACTCTGCAGTATTTCCCAAAGAGTGAGCCACATCAAAATCCCCATCAGGGACCCCCATCCCAGCAGCCTACTCCACAACAGCTTCTCAAACAGTTGTCCTCTTCCGGTCCCCCTCACAGCAGCGGCCCTTCGTCCAACCCCCACCTAGCAAACCTACAGAATATGATGGCTGAACAGCAGCTCGCCTCTCACCCCTCTCATGGTGGATTACGCCAAAGCATGGGTATTCCTCAAGGGGGTTCAAGGGGTATGCTTTCTGGCGGGGGCATGGGCCCCATGTGCCCCCCTGGACATATGATGGGAAGGACAGGCATGATGCCACAACAGCTCCAACAACATCAAGCCATGATGGCAAATAGCCTTCTCCACCATCCCTCCAGTCCTTACCCTGGCATGATGTCCTCCCAGCAGCACCCACACAATCTGATGGCACAGCAGAACATTATGATGATGCAGGCCAAGCAGCGGAGTGTGTCGATTTCAGGGGATCCCTTTGGCCCCCAGGGTCCTTTAATGTCCCCACAGGGTCCCATGATGGGCCCGTCCCACCCACAGTCTGGTATGATGGGCCCCCAGTCTCTCAGACAGCGTGGAATGTCTCTGGACAGTCCCATTGGCTATGGCCCTGGAGGGATGGCTAACATGCCATTCTGATCCAACAAAATAAATTGTAAAAATGCCCACTAGCTAACCTTCCCATTGTGTCCAAGTTTTTTCATCAATGTTATTTCTGCAATTTGAAAAGATGAACTGTAAAAACAATAATTCACTGATACTCCTCAAATTTTGGATTTAAAAAAGTTGAATATTTAAAAACACTGTAAAACAGTTCAATAATAAATCTGAAGCCATTTTCTAAAATACTGTACAATATGTATATTTAAAGATGTGTGTATTTGTTGTGGGAAGAGAGTGGCAGTCAGGAGAGGAGTGCCTCAAATTTCTATTTGTTTTAATATCATTGATTTATTTTCTCCAACTACCAAACTGTTGTGCAAAGGAATTATATATATAAATAATATATACTTGCTGTATATAAGATGCAATTTGTGATTGTTTGCAGTTGTTCTGTATAACTGTGTTTTAATAGAAGTCTAAAAATAGAATAATACTGATCTCTAAGGTGGTTTTATTTTGCTTATTGTGTTGTCAGTTATTTTTGTGGTATGACAATGACAAGGAGACACAGTTGCTGTATACATGTTTTTTTTATTGAATTCAATTAGCATAGCTTAAATACAAGCAAATGCAGGTTTCAGCAAATACCATTTTTTTCTTGACTGGGGAAATAAAGCATCTTTTAAATGCAAACAAAGTAGTAATGGTCAAATATTGTCTGAACAACCAATACAATTACAACATTTTCAGTATTACGCATAACATACTGTAAAAAGAAAGCATTTTAATTGCGGCTTGCGTAGTATAGGAGTTTACGACATGTGGGTGACGCTGATGGATGTCGTTCCATCAGAAATGGATGGTCGACTGCAATGCCGAGTTCTGGTCAAAGGCATACAAATACGACCGCAGCCAAGTTTACAAAGTAACTGTATTAGCTCCTTGCGGAACCGCACACCCACAAAGGCATACAAGAAAGGGTTCAGGCAACAGTGAGAGAAACCCAGGCTCTGTGTCACATCAAGGACTGGCGCCAGTAGAACATAAAAATCACAGCTATTATATGAGATCAGCTGCAGGTCTACCAGTGTTTTTATCAGTAAGGTGATATTATATGGCAGCCAACAGACACAAAAGACAATAGTGACAAGTAAGGCCAGTCGAATTGCGCCTTGCCTCGTTTGGCTTTTCTGGCTGTTGAACAAAGTAACAACCACTGCTGTGTAGCAGTAGCTCATGACAGCCATAGGAAGAAAGAAGCACAAATGATCTAAGACTCTACTGGTCAAAACCCAGTTGTGTGCATGGATTCCATCTTGATTATAATAATAGAAACAGGAGAGCCTGGCTGTGTTTCTCCTATCCTCTTTCACAGCAAGAAACACAACATTGGGTATTGTAACAGTCAAACAGACCAGCCATAATATAATGCATGTTAAGTGCACTGTTCTCCGACGTCGAGTTTGCAAACTAGGAATAGCGTGAACAATAGCCAAATAGCGATCAAAGCCAATGCAAGCTAGAAGTAAACTCCCACAGAGGAGGTTAAGATTTTTCATCAGGCCCACCAGCTTGCAGAGAAACTCCCCAAACAGCCAACCAACAATGTTGTCCACCACACTGAAAGGCAACGTAAAGAGGAGCATTAGATCAGCAAAGGCAAGGTGCAGCAGGTAGATCTCGGTGAGGCGCAGCAGGCGCCAATGACTCAGGAGGACTGTTGTCATCAGGCCATTCCCTGCTACACCCAGCAGAAAGATCAAACTGTGAAGCACAGGTTGGAACACAAGCTGGAACGTCTGCAGGCCCTTCTCCTCAAATCCACAGGGGACCGGTGGGTCTGTTGTATTTTCATAGACGTAGCCTGTCAGATTGTCAAGTTCTTCAAGGCCGGCCAGCTGTAAAATACACAGAGGCAAGATTGAGAAAACTGTTCTACAGAATGAAACATAACATCACACTTGATTGATTTATTTCATGATGTTTTTCTACAATACTAAAATAAAGAATCATTACACAAGTCGAAAGGGATTTTGAAGAAATCTAGTGGTTATGGTTTGGTTACCTGCAGGTTTGACATTTAAATTGTCAGGCAGGATGCACTGAATAGGCCGATATGTTTCACTTCTCCTTTCTGAGCAAAAATATGTTCAATGTATATGTATACATCTGAATGAAAAGAACACATTTTTTGCTTTATCAAGAACAATCAGGTAAATATTCCTCTGCTGAGGAAATCAGACGACATCTGAATGGTCAGTTTAGACCTGGGGTACACATGTGTTTCTTGTTAAACAGAAGGTCTTCACAAACAGATGTTTTTGTTTATTAGTGTTGAACCAGTGACACAGACACGCGCAGAAAAAGTTACTGTATATATTCTGAAAATGAAAATAGAAATATGGATCAAATGTGACACGGTGCGATATGAAGAGGGTTTTAGATAAATGGAATTTGTGGTCTTAAAGTATTTCCCCTTTTTAAAAAAACATATACCTGTACAGTACATTACAGTAATTTCTTCCTCTCATTATTCCCTGGTGATCTAACAGGAAGAAGCTTAATATACTTAATGCAAATAAGCCACGTCTGTGTCTGTGAATTTTAGCAGTATTTGAAATGCAATTATAGGAAACAGCTTTATGACTGTGACTTTGAAATGCCAGATGCTGCTGAGGTTTAAAAGATTTATGCATACTATCTTAGCTACTTGAAATTTTCCACCAGCAATTTAAAAAAGCATTTACATACAGAATTAATCACAGTAAACCTTACCTATTTCATAGCTATGACATTCCTATAGAAATAAAAATATAACACATCTGGATATCTATTACAAAGACTTTTAAGAGAAGATATTTTTATTGAACATCAGCTCTGCATGTTTTTCTTACCTCAAAAATGGTAAAGGTTTGTGTAACAGCCATGAGGGTAAATCTCCGTCTCCTGAATGTAGATCTCACTCTGTCACGATAAGAGTTCTTGAACGTTTGTGCTTGTTCTGCATTTGCTCTGCTGTCTTTGTTTGTTTCAAAACACTAGTCAAAACATGCAAGCATGCAAGAGCAGTAATGCATGTCCAAGTTACTGCACCCACTTGTAATAATATCCAAACTTATGCTGAACGGTTCTTGAGTATTTTTTTGCAAAAACAACACTTAAAAAGTCTTATCTGTATACCAACCATCCGCTGACTAATATGTTTTGGTCATCATATATCATCTTGCGTTGCCACATGCATTTGTTTTGTTTTTGAAAGCAACAGATGAAGACATAAAACAAGAAGCGCAAGCTTGTTAATAATCTGACTTAAACTTCTTGTAAGGGGTTTTAGCTGGGTATAAACCACCTGAAATAAATGCTGATGCAACTTTGTGAGCAAAAAAGAAAACAAGACCATCAGTAAGAAGATAGATTATTTTTATATACTTATTCTGCACATCTGTTATCCCTGCTGCTGGGTAGGTGTGAGACAGATAAACCGCAAGCTGCAAAAAAGGGGCTTTTTCAAATGTCCCATGCAAATTAGTGATTATTAGTTGCACATTAGACTTTCACCACAAAGAATTATGAGATTTTTTTGTCAAGAAACAGGATTCTTGCATGTACAGGACAAAATCAGCAGAGGCTTCCAACTTATAGGGGGCACAAACGAATATAAAACAGTAAAGTTCATCAAAGGAGTTTTACGTTTTTAAGTTCCTTAGAAAAGTATGGCCTTGTGACCAGAAATGGTTGTTTGTATTTGGCTGGTTCACCAGATTAATTCATTCAGGAAAAGCCATCAGAGCTCTGAGCAGCTTTGTCCCCAAACCTGCAGCTTCCAGGTGTGAACAGGACTTTCCAGGAAAAGAGAAAGCTGTTCTGGAGACCTTTGGTCGAAAAGGGGCTCATTACTGTCAGTAACATTACTTTAGTTTAATGAAGGTGAAGAAAAGGTTTGTATGTACATGATCAGTTAATGTCAAACACGTTTCCAGTTGTAAGTTGGAACACCAGTGTAATTTTTTAGGAGCAGCACCATCTTCAAAACAGAAAAAAAACATGAGCCAATGATATTCCACGTGTTTTGATTTATGCAGAATGAGTCAGCTGTTGAAAATGTTTGAATGCTTTTCAGTCCAGTAAAATCTTGTTTATTTAGGTTGCCCAAAATCACAATTTTCCTCACAGGAAAGACAATAACCCTCACACCATATATCCAGATAAAGAAAACAATAACAGAAAAAAACTTTGACAAGTAAAAAATAAAAAAAAGGAAAGAAAGACTCTGTAAAACATGGCCTATGTGTTTAAGATTTGGATGACTACGGTATCTTCGTTTTCACCAAATTCAAAAACAAGGTTCAGAGATCTTTACTGGTTATTGGAAACTCTTCTAGTTATAAGTCACCTGTAGCCTACAGGCCTACTATGCTTTAGAGATTAATTGAGGCTAACCTGCAAGAGAGGTAACAACAGAGTGTAAACCAAATTTCCATCACTGATTAATAAATCAGCCTATGTAAAATTATGTATAGATATAAGGATTGTATAAATATATAAAATGTAAATATAGTACATCAAATTGTACAAATAGATATGTATATATAGATATAGATATATGGATTGCATAAATATATAAATTATAAAAAATCATATATATCAAATATGTATGGAAAATCATTGGATTGTAAATATCAAATATAGTATCATAAATATAGTATAGCAAATTGTATATAGATAGATTGTATATATAGAGAGATTATAAGGAACACAGGAAGTTAATTTAATTTAATAAATATTAATTATTGAGCTGTGGAAAAGGGGTAGGATTAAATAAATGTTATACTTCTTCCTAGTCCTTTTCAGGCATATCACTTGAATATATGTAATTTTCTTTTTCTTTTTTTGTGAAATAATTTGAACATTGTTTTTTGTTTATTGTATTTTCATGCTTTTCATTTTGTTTTGTATTTTTGATATGTTTGATTTTATTTGATATGTCTGAAATAAATTGAATCAATCAATCAATCAAAAAATTACATTTAAAAAGTATGAGAACAACATCAATAGAGAAAAGGACTACCAACACCCAGAAGGGCCTCATATCTAAATTATATTTCATAGGATATATTACACACCACATAAGCTTTATCAGTTCAGTCATGAGACATCTCCCTGCTGCCCTAGGTGCAACAATCAAACAGGGGATCTAATACATATGTTTTGGAAATGTGACAGACTGAATGATTACTGGAACTTTATATTTGACCAACTGTCCAAAATATTTTCGAAAGACCTGACCCCAAACCCCCGCATGGCTATTCTGGGCGATGCTACAGTGCTGATAAAATTTGACAATCATGAAAAGAAACTTATCCTACTGGCTATGACCACAGCAAAAAAATGCATTTTATTGCCACTGGAAATCTGAAACCCCTCCCCCAATCAAGCAGTGGTGGTCAGAATTGCTATCGTATTGTACACCTGAGAAAATCATGTATTATGTGAAAGGACAACAAATGCAATTCCAGAACGTTTGGGGTCGTGTTATAGATTATATCCCCATAATGGGGGATCAAGTAGAAGCCTAATTTGATTAATTTATCAAAGTGTGACCATGATTATGTGTTTTGGTTTTATTTTTTATTTATTCTTTTTGTTGCCCTTTTTTTTATTATTGTTATTGTTGTTGTTGTTGTTGTTGATGTGAACATCAGTACGGTGCTGTTGTAAGACAGGTTTTATTCACCATGCACCTTAATAACGTATCATTTAGTATTTGCCTACTTGCACATAGCTCTGTATATATATATTTATTTCTCGTTTACTGCACATAGTTCTGTTTACATCTGTTAGTCCGATCACTGTCCACTTATATCTACTCTTTTATATTTTGTATTTTTAAGTTAAGTTTAAGCTTTAAGTTGTATTTAAAATTGACACTTTATATTTAGGTTAAAATGTTTCGTTTACTTGCACTGTTGTTAATTTACTGCTGTGTGCCTTTGATTCCCCCCTCGGGGACAAATAAAGCTTTTTGAATTTGAATTTGAAGGTTAAAGATATATGTTACTGCTGCTGGTACTGTCTTGTCTGCATGGTGTCTATTGTTTAGGGTAAAATTAATTAAAATAAAATAATAAATATAAATAAATAATAAATAAATAATATATTTGTGTAATTTAATGACCTCTTGGTGGAATAAAACAAGGGAAATATAAACGGGATGATTGTACAGAATATATAAACAAAACAAAAAAAAAGAGTCGGGATCGATAAAGTGGAAACTTAAAGAAAGTCCTTGAGTTTTAATCGGGGTTAACCCGTTGATTTGAAATGAAATCAGCTGATAAATTGGAGGGGGGCGGGTTCAAATACGAGCGGAAGCCATCTTGAACGGTTGGTTGACATGACTCTTTTCGCAGTCAGCTAAAAAAAATTGAGTACACCTTACAAACACCGCGTAGGGAACCGGTTACTTCAGGTATTTAAAGGTAAATACACGCGCACCTTACCAACACATCCCTGCGTATTGTCACTGACAGATATTCCGTCATTTTTGAGGCGACCTTTTCGGGTTAACTTCTCATCGTTGACCCCTTTCATGCTATCATGCTATCATGCTAGCACGCAGTCCTCTCTGCTGAGGTAACGTCGATTTAAATGAGTTAAATGTTTTATATCGAGTTGTTGCATGTTCGGCAACGGTGGTGAACATGTAAAAAAACAAACGGGAACACACGCGTAATGACTAACATAGTGGATTTAAGTGTTTCTAATCCGGTATTCAATCATTGCTTACCGGACACAGCGTTAGCCTTAAGCTAACGTGCTAGTTAGCATTCTGCGGCAGCGCAGGTAGCTGGAATCTGTCGTAGGTCCTTTTTCTACTTTGACGTATTTAACAGATAAAACAATGCTTTTTGCCAGACATTTTATCACTCGCGTGTATTCTGCAGACGGATTGGACACTCTGTATGTTAAGAGTTTGTAAATATTATGATCAAAAGGTAATTCAATATCATATAACATCAACGCTGTAAGTCGGTCAACTTAGGCCAGTCATCTACGGTTACGGATGTCAGTCAATTAAATAACACCTACACGTCTCACCTTCAAGTCAGACAGCGGGGGTTTTTCTTTTACAATACGCTTTGTTTAATTAAGTTGCCTTGTAGTCTTTGCCTTTTTTTTTTAATAACGTCTTTGCCTTTTTATGTTTCAGGGAAAGAAGAATGAGAAAGACGCAGCGGCGCAGTTGAGCTTCACAAGATGGCTTGCTGAGCCCTCCTGGTGAATGGTTTTCTACACAACTTACGGAATTTAACATAAAAGATTTAGCCCTTAATTACTGGGAAAATAAAAAATAAATGCTTAGAAGTTGCAGGAAGTTTGAAAGGGGGGATAATTGGAGTCACCAAAACGAGAACATTGTGGAGGAACCTGCCGAGAGGAGAAATTTGGACAATTTCTTGAAGACTCAATAATAGAGGACAATCAAGCTCTGAGGAGTCCCAGGAAAGTGGACTCTATTCATCCAGAGACTGTTAAAGCCTTCATTACTATTGGAGCAGAAAAGAAAAGCTACGTAAACATGAGTACTGCCAGGACAGAGAACCCAGTGATTTTGGGCTTGTCAAACCAGAATGGACAGCTGAGAGGCTCAGTGAAGCCTGCAGGAGCTCCAGGTGGAGGAGGAGGAGGTGGTGGAGGAGGAGGAGGCCCTCAACTGCAGCTTAACCAGATGAAAGGAGCAATCAACAATGGTAACTCCCAGCCGGTCCCTACAACCAACGCTGTCATCAAGTAAGTTATAAAATACAATCATTTTGAAGTTCTCTGTGCATTGGCAAAAAAACAATAAAACTTCATATTCTTTGTTATGCTTTTTGTTAACAAGATTTGTATCCTCCACAGACCTGGAGATGACTGGAAGAAAAATTTGAAATTGCCCCCAAAAGACATGAGGATGAGAACTTCGGTTGGTACAAGATGTCTCTTTTGTAATTGAGTGGAAAGTCCTTAAATCTCTACCTGCCTTGTTTTAAACTGCAAGTGCCAGATATTTCCTAGCAAACACTCATTTTTACTACTGCTAAGCAGGAGTCTTGATTACAATTACTTAATTGTTCACACTTTAAATGTATACAATTGTTAAATTAATATTGCATTTTTTCTAACATTTAACTTTTTTATTTTTCATTTCTTTTATATTTTCTGAATTTATGTAAAATCTTTTTGTTGTAATTTTTATGGTCTTTTATATTTAGTATAATAATCCTGAAATTACAACCGTTAATTTTAAAGTTTAGTACATCAAATGCTAATGAGCTTTCTTTTTCATGATTCTAGGATGTGACTGCAACAAAAGGCAATGAGTTTGAAGATTATTGCCTGAAGAGGGAGCTGCTCATGGGAATCTTTGAGATGGGCTGGGAAAAGCCATCTCCAATCCAGGTACATGCAGACGATGCTCAGATTATATCACCTTTTTAAACTGGACACAACGGAGCATGCTCTTCAGCGAATACATTTTAAAAAAATATTTAAAAGGTTTTATTTGTTTACAAAGGCTTAAGGGCTATTATAGCACTTTGACCGTGGCACTTTGATAACCTTGATACTATTTCTCAATTCAGATCATGTGAAACATTAACTTTATATGGTCAACATTATTGCAGTTTACAACTCTTTACAGAGTTGGTAAAATGTTGTCTTTAACTAAAATGATGTTTTAATGGGATGGAATGATAGTTTTCCACTGAGCTCAAAGTTTGTTAAAATGGGGTTCAAGGATTGCTCAGTAGACTGGGAACTGCCTTGAAATTACTTGTTAAAATCCACAGGATATTTTCCTTCATTACTGTTTTCCCCAGGGAAATAAAAATAAATAATTATTTATTTATTTATAACAATAAACAAAGTGCACTGTGTATAGCTCTACCCTTTAGGGTTGGATTGGTATGCTTGGCACCCCAACAGTAAGGTAGCAAAAAGGAAGTACAGTACGGATCACTTATTTTGGTACCATTCCCAATTTTTGACAGTGGGAATAAATGCGTACTGAACCGTAGGTTATAGGGTTGGTTGATTGGCTTTAATGCATTCAGGTAAAACCCCCCTTGCTGGTTTGACTGGTGCACCAAGCAAACTGAGTTAGGTAAGAGTGGGCCAAAAGACCAGAGTACCATTCTCTGCTTTTTATCGAGTCAGCCAACTTACATAAACGAAAATGAAAATCAATGTGGTTACTTGGGGTATTCATCTGAAACCTGTCAAAGTTGGCTATAATTAGACCTAAACGAAGCACTATTATGATACTATTTATTTTTACACAGGAGGAAAGTATTCCCATTGCACTGTCAGGGAGAGATATCCTGGCCAGAGCCAAGAATGGCACGGGAAAGAGTGGAGCCTACCTCATTCCCTTACTTGAACGCATTGACCTGAAGAAGGACTGCATACAAGGTGAGAGCTGGTTTCCTGTCATAGTTTCCACCCTGTTAATGTCTGAAATCTCACACCTGGATTGAGATGGAAATTAAATGTAACAAAGTAATGAGTGATGGCAAAATAATTTAACTAACACTAGTAAGCTGGCTCTGATTGTTGTAGAATTGTGCATACTCAACACATGCATGTTTGTCTGTTCTTCCAGCAATGGTCATAGTGCCCACCAGAGAACTGGCTCTGCAAGTCAGCCAAATATGTATCCAGGTCAGCAAACACATGGGTGGAGTGAAGGTAATGGCAACCACAGGTGGAACCAACCTCCGTGATGACATCATGAGACTCGATGAAACAGGTATAATGGCAACCACAGGTGGAACCAACCTCCGTGATGACATCATGAGACTCGATGAACAGGTAAATGTCCTGGTGTGGACGTGCATTACTTTGCCTCTCTTCATATAAAATACTGTGTTCATATCTACCTCAAAGACTCTGAATGACTCTGGTGTGGACGTGCATTACTTTGCCTCTCTTCATATAAAATACTGTGTTCATATCTACCTCCAAAGACTCCTGAATGACTGATTAATGTAGATACTAAATCTTTCATCATTAACCCTCTCTGAGAGAGGCTAGTTAAAGTTTTGGGATTGCTTGTAGCATATTATTTCAATAAAAAAAGTGTACTGCACAGAGGTCTATGCAAACATTTCTAATAAATACATTCTGGATGTCAGTCTGTCTCATGCATTAACAAGAAGCCTGTATCTGATGTGGGGATCTATCAGCGGGAATGATGGGGTCTCTGTTCCCTGTGGTTGCATATTTGCATTCTGAGTATCTGGAAAAACAATCTATATATACAATTTCATTACAAAAAGCATGACATGAGGCAGATGTTAATTTCTTATTCTCAGAGGCTTATTATTGCCTACACTTGATCTGTACCAGTAAAGACTCAGGAAATGTGTCCTGACGACTAACTAACGTGATGCCAGCAGGAATCACAAATTCAACAAATAACTGGTGGTTATAACGCTAAATTCTTGGCAGTCAGGGCACGTTGATTGAAATATGGCAACCGTTCAAAACACAAGCTCTTTAGCTGAGTGAATACAGCCAAATGATTTCTCTAGAATGTTTGAATACAACTTTTTATACTACATTGTCGTCAGTGACTGAATAAACCCTTTGTATAGATCAGATGCTCGTTCTTTATACAGCCACTCTGAAAGCTTTGTGCTTTTCTATCCATCCATCCAGCCAACCTTGAACACATTAGTTGTGTTTGACCCCACAGTAATATTAATGAATGAACTTGTGACATAAATTTAATATTTCTGTATTAGTCAGCTCTGAATGTGCCTCTCTGACCCCCCCATGATTTTCTGCTCCACAGGCAGACAAACTCCTGTCTCAGGACTTTGTAGTGATGATGGAGGAGATACTGGGCTTCCTGGCCAAACAGAGGCAGATTCTGCTGTATTCTGCAACCTTCCCTCTCAGCGTGCAGAAGTTTATGGTACATTCTTCTACTTTAAGGAACTGATTTCTAAATTTCTCAGTTAATAAACAAATCAGCCTTTTAAACTACTCCTGTCCCGATCTTCTGTATAGAACTCACACTTGCAGAAACCATATGAGATCAACCTGATGGAGGAGCTGACACTGAAGGGTGTGACTCAGTATTACGCTTATGTAACTGAAAGGCAAAAGGTTCATTGCCTGAACACCTTGTTCTCCCGGGTAAGTGTTGTCTTTCTTTGTTTTTAATTCACTTCAGTTGAAGTGAAACTGAAAAATACCCAGATGACTTCCAGCTTGAATTCAAGAGGCTGCTTTATAATCTTCAAACATTGACTCTTTTACATTTGGATATGAAACTAATATAATTATGAGCTAATCTTAAAAATGTGATACCTTTTTATTAGGCATTGAAAATATTGTATTTCTTTTTCTATTTTTCAGCTCCAGATCAACCAGTCCATCATTTTCTGCAACTCCTCTCAGAGAGTGGAGCTCCTCGCCAAGAAAATTTCCCAGCTTGGTTATTCATGTTTCTACATTCATGCCAAGATGAGACAGGTCAGCTCAAAGTCCTGCCTCAGAATTACCTGCCAACAGTACATCCGAGACTTGACTGTAGTGTTTTCTGCAAGGTTGACAGGCTATAGCAACATGGTTACATACCTTTTTACATAGTTCCTTTCCACAGCTCAAAACTGAAAATACATTTCCCTGCTCTCTTCTATTATGTATAAAAGAGGTGGAAATGTTTTACAAATAAGCCTTTTCTTTCTCTTGCTCTCCAGGAGCACCGCAACCGCGTATTCCACGACTTCAGAAACGGCCTCTGCAGGAATCTCGTCTGCACTGGTAAGTAGCAGAGCCATCTGTTTATTTTACAAGCAGAGTTGTGAAAGCTGTGTCGTTGTTTTGAGACTGTCAACATATCATCAACTACCTTTTTCCCAGCTAAAACCAGTGTTAACAATGTGGAGTTACACACTACTCAAGTACTGTAATTAAATCTCTCTAAATTCAGTTCTTTGAATGGTTGTCCCATCTGCCTCTGCCCTTTGAAAAGTGTCGAGTCACATTACAGCTGACCTTACACTTAGACACACACAGTATAGAGAATATAAGGCTTCAGTAGTTTAAAAAAAAACAAAAAACCTTTAAAATAAAGAGAAAAAATATTATTTAATAGATTAGACTAGATGTTTATTGCCATTTGTACAGGACAGTACAAGAACATTGGATTTTTTTGTGCATTTCTCAGAGATAGCTCTGCAAACAAGGTAAAGGTATAAAAAATAGAAAGGCAATATAAACATGAGTAGAAAGAAGTAAGAAAAAATAAACTGTATTACACTATAATATAACTGCAATAAAAACAAATCAACCAAAAACCCTCTTACATGACCTTGTGTTGACATAATGGCTGGGACTGTGTGCACACTTTATGGAGAACAGCTCACCTAATCCTTTCTTGAGAGCCTTTTCAGAATGTTTTTAATTTGCGTGGCTGCTTGACACATTCTAATTGCTGCATGTTGAGTTCAGCTTTAAAGGCAATGTGTTTACCTGTGATCTGCACCCACAGTAACAAAATTACAAATAGAACGTTTACCAAAAGACAAAGTGGAAGCAGCACGTTGAGCTGTTCAGTTTTAAACAAAGTTGTTGTGCCACTGGAATTATCAGCCTAAAACATTTTGATTAGCCCTCTGAGGTCGACGCTGTTGTATACCTTTATGAATGTTGTCTTTATATTATCAGTTCTAAAAATGGAACGGTAAGGCTTATCTACTTGATGAAAAATCAACTCGCTTCATTATTCTCGGCAGCTTTCCGGTGATAAAGTATGTGTGTTTCTGTGAAGTCCAGGAGCTTTTCTATTAAGATCAGTGGATGTTAAGTGACTGTTAAATTAATGTCTGTGATCAGCTGACATATTCTGGCAAATGAGATGCAGGTGCAGCCTGTAACGGATGCAACAGCCTGCTCTCAGCACTGAAATGCAAAAGATGAAATTGAATGGATTGATGCTATTCAGCTTATTCTAGTATCAGTAGCTCTTTCCTCCTACATAAATACATCACAGCACATAAATATAAAAGATAGAACTGCTTGAATGGATGCATTACACGGTTGTTTACAGAAGGAGACCAGGCGTTAAACATTTTGGGCAAAATGTCTTGAGACCCCAGTTGCTGGCCAGCTTTAGCACTCCAATCAGATTGGGGTCTAAAGATGGAACATATATGACTTGTGCTGCCTGAAGGGGGACACCAAATACCTGTTTTAGAATGCATTGTTGACTTTACGATAAGATAATTAAATAGTAGTTTTTTTATTGTGAGTGTTAAACTCACAATCTTTGCATATACATGTGTATAGTGATACTTTTGGTGACATGCTCCAGAGGTAGGTAGACATTGTTGCAGTCATGCAAATGGTGACAAACAGAAGGTATTGTTTTGTATGTTTGTCAGTCTGTGGAAAATCATGCATGTTTGATTAAAAAAAATGTGCTTGTCTTTGTGAAGTTCTTACACTGGGGACACAACATTCTCTCTTGCTTTGTTTTTATTTAGATCTCTTCACAAGAGGCATTGACATTCAAGCTGTGAATGTCGTGATCAACTTCGACTTTCCCAAGCTGGGAGAAACATACCTTCATCGCATTGGTAGATCCGGTAAGATCTTTTCTTTACTTTTTTCCCCCCAGCTGTGCAGCCTCTGCTCATGTCACAATATATCTAATATTCACATCCTTTATATCCAGGCCGCTTTGGACACTTGGGTCTAGCCATCAACCTCATCACTTACGATGATCGCTTCAACCTGAAAGGGATTGAGGAGCAGCTCGGGACAGAGATCAAGCCCATCCCTGGCATCATTGATAAGAGCCTCTATGTGGCAGAGTACCACAGTGAGAGTGGCGAAGAACTCAAGCCATGAGCCAGTGAGTACACACTAAACTCCCAGGAGGATTCACGTTTGAAATAGGTTTCTGTTGTGACTATCGAAACACACATGGCAGGATGAGACATCTTCTAATTAGACTGATACGTGGAAGTGATCACACTTTCTTTGGCATGCTGCCTCATTGGTGTTGCTTACTAGCGCTACTAAATGTAACACAGACTTTTCAATAGATTTTCAGGCCAATGACTCAATGCCTCTTTTGTCACCAAGAATGCTGTGGAATCTGTGGCTAGCTGTAACAGTTACTGATATAATGAAAATAAAAAAAGAGAGACTGCACAGAAATTGAATGATTCTCTTGAAATAGAAGTGACCTGCTAGTTTTGACCTGTTTACCATTCACTCCAGCAGAGTGATCAAAATTGTCTAACAAGTGTTTGTTATAAAGAGTTAATTTAAGGCAATCCTCTCTCTCTTTGCAGATCAGTCCATCCTCCATTGCCCCCTTTATACCTTTTTTTTCCTCCCCCACATCCCCCCTGTCTGGAGTTCCTTTTTTATGTACAGTTTCTGTCTGTCCTCCTTTTTTTTTTCTTTTTTTTTTGATGCCACCATGAGGAATGTGTATTTTGATGGACGCGTTTTGGAAGAACTCATTTGCCTTTTTATTGGGCTCAGTGCTGCATCACCACCACCACCACCACCCTGAAGACACAAGCACCTGGAGGAAAGCATGGGACCAAGTAAAAATATATCGATGCACAGTGTGACGATTCATATCCACCGATGACACAAAGCCAGCACCAACAGACCGCTCCATGTCGCCCTCCATTCTCCACTTTTTATTTTGGAAGTTTTAACCAATTTGTATCAAGTGCCTTAACAAGCAGTTCAACTCGTTCTTAAGTAATAACCCTCCATTATCCGCCATTATCTCGCTCGCCTCATACCACACACTCACTTTCACCTAATTGAAAATTTGTCACACTAATTTAATGTCCGATGGCGTAGGTGAATTCATCACAGCTTTTGGTTGGGTCATCTGTTTGAGAGAAATGGAGATAATTAGGAGGGAGACTGGTCTGAATTACCTTTCTGCTGGCTTAGCTGCACTTGCGTCTGGCTGAAAAATGAGGACAAAACTTGGATTTTTCCATGGACAGAGATGCTGGAATTTTTCCAAAAGACAGCCAGACTGTCCAGCTGCTTGTGGAGAAGCTTGTGCTTCCAAAAGACCCAAACCCTTTCCTCTGTCTTCAGCATCAGAACACTAAATATGAATGAGCAGCCTCTCAACACCATGAGTCATGAGGATTCCTGTTTCGGTGGAGTTAAATTGTGGGGAGCGTTTTTTTTTTTTTCTTCTTCATTTTTCTTTCTTGTCCTGTGTTTCACCTTCCTGTGGATGGCCATACTAAATTCTAAGAGTGCAGCCGACATGTGGGGCGCACCTCACACTTTGTATATACCTTAATTTTAAGATTGTTTTAAACAAGTTCAAAAGGCTGGCCGACAAACTGAAAGCTTTCCCCCTTCTCTCTCGTTAGCACTGGAGACTGTTTCCTTAAATGCCAGTTTGTTTGTTCTGCAATATTGGCCTGTGAATTTATTTATAATTTTAGAAATTGCAGAAGTTATTAGAATCTAAAACATTGAAATGACCTTGTGCATGAAATGTTTTTGGTGGCCGAGCTCATCACTGATAATCTTTTAGCCCCTACAAATTGATGGCCAGTGCAATTCTTGAAAGCTGCACTTAAACTGAGAGTTAAACTTGTCGCCCGTTTTCTCCTGCTCCCAGTGTTAACGAGTGTTCAGTCGAGACAGATGGCTTTGATAAGCTTGTGCATTTGAGTAATGAATTCTTTGTTATCACCAGCCTTAACTTGTGAAACTGACTCTTGACGCACTCTTAAGATCTCCATTTACAATGAGTGTTATTTAAAGAGAAAATATTATATCATGTAGTAGTACTACTTGCTGCAGTGCAGCTGAATTGGCAGAGAATTAGTTTTCTGGGGGAGGTATTTGCTGTTACGTTGATCTATATGCTCTTTAAGCACAGCTACATAATTTCACTAATGTTGAGCAGGGAGCTGTGGATTTATTTTCCCCCGTTTGAAGAATGTCAGCCGAATGCATCAAAATGAACCATCTGACCTAACATGTAGCAGGAATTAGTTCTCTGTGCATTCCAAGTTAGCTGGCTTTATGAAACCGGTTAACAAAAGATGCCTCACGAAAACAACCTGAGCAGGTTGAGCAGCACTTAGCACACAGATGGGTTCAGGCAATAACGCTGACTGCACTGCTTTTTGTACACTTGTGCTGCCCCTGAGAGAAGTGTAAGATGGTGCAACAAAAAAGAGAATTGGCACAGAGGGGGAATGGGCATGAAGGATTTCAGAATTTCTATCAGTCGGACTGCTTGTTTAAAAAAAAAAACAACTTTAGCATCCCAGGCTGCTGAGTTTATTTCTTATTTCTCTGCCCTTTATTGCTTTTGATATTTTGGGTTTGGGTTACAGTTTGCAATTTTATGCAACATTGACAACCTTTATATTGCATTAAGGTTTTCTTAGCAGGCGTTTGCAGAGCTGAAACCTTTCTGCAAATGAGGTTCCCTTAGTTATGAGATGCTCTGAACCGTTCTAACCAATGAGAAGTATTATTGCACATTTAATTTAAGCTCTTTTTAAACACTTTAAAACAGATCAGTTTAAGCTTTCACCTGTATTTCTCATTGTTTAGGACTTTGACCCCTGTTCTCTCAGCTCCATGGTTGTCCCCTTTTAAAGAAAAAACTTGCTCATCTGATTTGGCTGTTTTGGCTTATTGTTTGGGTGGGAGGGTAGTGTTTTGTTATAAAAATGGAAGAAAAAAAAAAACCTCTAAATTAAATTGAGCACAAGTTGAGTGAACAGGGGTTAAATCTATACAGGCACTTGGCAGCTGTCTGTAAGGTGTCAGCCCTCCGGTAGTAGCAAATGCTTTCAAGGCAAAAGCCAACAGTCCTTTAACATCGAATATGTTGTCACCTTTAATGGGATTCTGCTTGACTGCCTGTGGCTGACATCTTGAGAACCTTTAAGACTGAGACAAGAGCATCTTTTCCCAGATTGGCTAAATAATTGGATCATTTCTGTAACTAAATTGTCTCATTCTTTAAGGTCTTTTAAAAAAAATTGTTGGGTGGGTAAATTAGTGTTTTTGCTGCCCTGATGCACATGTTCATCCTCTCCTGATAGTTCTGACAAAAACATCCTGACACAGCTTTTGTGTACAATTTGGCCGTCCTGTAACCTTTCTGTCGAGGAGGATGTGAGTGGAGTCTTTGAGGGAGCTTTTCCAAAACGTGTGCATCAGTGAAACAACGGGGAGGAGCCTACGGGCTTTACAAAAACAAGGATATGATCAGAAGATCCAAAGTTATGGAAGTGGGTAAAAAAAAAAGTTCAAAAAAGTTGCCCTTAAATTTGGATTTTTGTTTTCCTTTCGAATGAAATGTTCAAGTGGAGTAAACCTTATTTCAAAAGTCTCCAAATTTAAGTGAAGAATTTAAAGCCTGAGTTAATTTTCTTTTTATTTGATGGAAATTTGGTCGTTATTTAATTGGCAGAATTTTTCAGTGATGCTATTTTTACAGTGGAGTTCAGTTTAAAAGGATGTCATCAGTATGATTGGATGTGATTGAAAGTTTGGTTTAAAATAAAGCTCACTGAAATTTATTCTGTCTGACATTTTATTGTGTATCACTGCAGGGTCCTGTTCCACATTTCTTCAGCACTATGTGTCTGTGTGTTGCTGCTGTTGTGTTCTTCTGTTCAGTCTTAAACTCTGACTTGGAGGGTAAACGAAGCCAGATTAGAGGGTCAGATGGGTCTGTTGAGCCAAAAGTCTGAGTTTTCTGTATCATTAACTTGACCCTTCTGTAAACCTGGCCAGATTACCATGGCAACTTACTCTAAACTCAACCTGGTCAGAGTTTGGGCTTTAAATCAGTGCTGTCATTTTCTGTATGGAAACTTTTGAATGTTACCTTGGTAACGTTTCTGAAAGGAAGCCATGCAGTGACTGAAGACATCACAGAGCCTTTACATTCAGTAAGTGATGAATATATCCCCTTCCCTCTTTCCTACTTGAGTCGAATTCACTTTGAATGTTCAGCAGATCATTCCCACACTAAAACTACAGTGAGGGGACAGCTCCCGTGTGCCCCACGTTGACAAAAAGGATGTTTTATATTTCTGTTTGCTGCAAAGCACTAAATCCATCTTCCTGTTTTTAATGCCTTTATGTGAAACTCAATGCTTTCATTTGAAGGTCAAACAGAGGCATCAGTTGTGTTTCGGGTTCGTTTGTAACCTGCTAAAAACTCCTCGCATGACCTTTAAACAACATTGCAGTTTTATATCTGGTCCTAATGACCTGCAAAGTCTGTTCCAGTTGGAGCAGAAACGCATAATAAAATAATCTTTATGTATTAAACATATAGGCTGCTGAAGTCAAATCATAGACAAACGTTTTTCTGACATATCCGCCGCCAGCACCGAGGGGCCACGCGGCCTCGGGTGCGGGGATCTCAAACCGGTAATGATCCTTCCGCAGGTTCACCTACCATAACTTAAGCATTGAAGGAAAATTTGGCCAATTACATCTTTAATGAAGTGATAGACCAAACCTGACTTAATTACAATCCTGATTATCTTCACTACTGCTGTAATGATGTTAACCATTGTTAAAGCTTGAGTTGCTTACTAGTTGTCATATAGTAACGGGAAGAATCCACAGTTTATTGAAATGAAAAATATAAATGAATATCTGATTAAAAACAGAAGCCTATGTTTCTGCAACATCTCCTCCCCTTCAATTCAGCAGCGTTGCTTTTTTTAAAGATATATTAACCATCGCCTCTCACCTTTCAGACTGAAAATAATTGTATATACATACATCTTATAAAGTCTATGTTCTCATTATTATATCAACCTTACAGAGGCAGACAGCAGGGGATGGTGGTTTATTTATGTGGAAGAAGTGTCAAATGACGCCCTCTTTCATGTGAGCCTGAAACCGAAAGTGAACCCAAAGTTCATGACCAGCTTTATTGTGAAACCTGTTATCTCTCCCTGTGACTTCAGACTTTACTCAGAGACAGCCTGCCTGGGCATGGAAACTCAGCCCTCTGGAGGTTGTTGACAGACCACAAACTAACTTGCGCTCTTCCTTCACCTCAGTTTCACAATTAATATATTTACAGTGATGGTTTCACAGCTGGACATGAGGCTAGTTCTGTTTTCATCTGTGGCTTTTGTGGCCTGCACACAGAGTGCTTTTCCTCCACCATGTGACAGGTGAGAAAAAGACCCAAAGTTTGTGAAAGGCTTTTGTTTATGAAAAGAATCACTCCTGAGTTCTGTAGGTACTGAAGTTAATATTTACATGTGGCTGTAAAACAAGTTAATTAAAAAAACTGTTTTGAATGCAGCTCTGTTAATCCTGAATCTTAAAACTATTTCTATTAACTTTGATCTGCTGCTAAAAAAAAGAAAACGTATTGCCAAGCGTTGATATTTTTATTCCTTCACACTATGTTTTTCCTTGAAAGAACAACATATAACTCGGGTTTCAGAAAGGCAGACAGTTATCCTGGCAGCTTTGATTTCCTGTTTAGAAATCTTTGTAAATATTGAGTTAGTCCTTTTTGAAGCTAGCAAACAAAATATCTCATAAGATTTCTTTATTGTGAAGTTGTCAGCAGACCTTGCCCTCACCTGCTTATTTACAGTTAGACTGATTTTATTGCCTCCCTGCAGGACTCTGTAATTCTCTATGACACAGATGGCCTTGTATCGTATCTGATTAATAATTTACAACTCTATAAATGAATTTCAGTGAGATATACTGCTCCGGGCCCATCTTGCATCAGGTACAGGCAGCTAAACTGTTTGATGATGACAAGTACTTTGTTGACATGAAGCTGAGGGAAACTCCTGGTGAGTCTGAAGTCTATGAATCAGATTGTTTTCATGACGTCTGTTATGTGGATGCTTTAGTTTCTCCCTTTGTTTTCTTCTCTCTGCAGATGTTGTTTTGTCGGCTTTTCAAAACCTGTCACAAGAATCACCAAACATCCCGCCTGCCAAACTGCAGGAGTTCCTCAGGACGTACTTTGAGAAACCAGGGACGGAGTTTGAGTCGTGGACTCCATCAGACTGGCATGACAAGTGAGATCCAGTTAACAAAGACGACTCATAATAAGATTATCTTTTATCTGTTCTTGGTTGATGTGATTTTTTTTTTGATTTGTGCAGCCCAAAGTTCCTGGGAGGGATAGCAGACCAACAACTGCGGAGCTGGGCTGGAAAGATCCATCAGCTGTGGAAATCTCTCGGCAGAAAGGTGATGAGAGTTAGAGGATGAATGATTGGTCCAATAAACCGCCAGAGTTTTGGTAACTGAACAATCATTCAAGCTACTTTTATATCTTCAAAATTCACTTCTTCAAGTACCTGAAATGTTTATTTTGACTTTTTGGAAATGATGATGTACATTTTCACTCTTTTTTCCTGATATTGTTGTATCAACATTTTCAAGGTTTGGATTATTACAGAAAAATGATTGATCGATTAAAATAAGTAATTGGTGCATGACTATGGAAGCCCTAAAGGGACATACAGCACATGTATACTTTTCATTTTACTCCGTGTCCCGTAATAACCATTTCAAAGATTTGAACATAATCTGTCTAGTTATCTCGGGAACACATCGCTGGTTTTTCCGAGATCATTTCTCAAGATCTTGAGAAAACGTCTAAAATGAACTTAATTATGAGAAAACCAGCGTTTTTACCCCGAGAAAACGAGATAAATAAGTTGAGGTTTCCAGAAAACATAGGTCCACATAGGGCCTGTGTACAATTATATTGGATTTAAAGGGGACATATTATGAAAAATCCACTTCTACAGTGTTTTTAAACATATATTTGGGTAACCTGAGTGTCTACTGACCCACAAAATGTGAAATAAATCCACCCAGTCCTTTGTTTGTGGTCTGCATAAGTCTTACAACACAGAGAAAAATGCTCCGTTTCAAATTTGCTCTCCTTGTGATGTCACCGTGGGATTCTGGGGGGGAGAAAAATCCCCTCCCCTCCGCTGATATCTCCACCCATGGACTCCATCCCCAGCCTAGAACAAAACTTTTGCACAGATCGGCCATTTTTATTCTCGCTACAGAGGAGTGATGTCTATAGAGAAAACTCAGGGGAACTCATTGAATTTAAAGAGACACACACACCAAAACGGAGCGTTCTGAGAGAGCTGGTTTATACAGGGTCACAAACCTCCTCTGGTGCTTGATTCATGTTATTATTATTATTTTAAGAATATATCATTCAATCATTTTTTATTTTTTTTTGCAGTCTTTTCTTTATCTGAAAAAAGGAAAAGTATCATCGCATAACCATAATGTGTTATTTTGAATTCATGTTCCTGTTTATATGGCCAGTAATCCTTCTATGTGTGTATTGAGTCCAAAGAACATAAAATGTGTTGTCCAGATTCGTTCCAGTGTTGAGGATCACCCCGAGCTCTACTCCCAGATCTACACCCCCCATCCTGTCGTTGTGCCGGGGGGCCGCTTCAGGGAGCTCTACTATTGGTGAGTGAGTTGACGAGGCTCGTCTCTCGGCTGTCTGTCTGAGCATCAGTAGAAGAGTCTCAGCGGGTCACAGCGAGGAGAGATCAGAGCCGGGGCCCAGGCGCAGGGGGGGGGTCTCTGCTGAGTGCCCACCCATGTGCCGTGTGCAGACAGTGACGTGAGCCGCTCTCTGCCCAACAGGGACTCCTACTGGGTCATCAACGGGCTCCTGCTGTCAGAGATGACACACACGGCCTACGGGATGATTCAAAACTTCCTCTACCTCGTCGACAGGTGAGCCTCAAAGCACCTTTCATCTTTAATCGCACAGAGAATCACGCAGCACGCTGCAGGTCGTCCAGCGGGGCTCATTCTGATGGGGCTCATTCTTCGGCTTCGGCTGTACATTTTGCATACGGAGCTCTCGGGAGGGATTTCAAGATTTTGGGCAATAAAAAGTTTTTTTGTTTTTTTTCAAACCCTTCCTGCAGATATGGCTTCGTTCCAAATGGTGGGCGGATTTACTATGAACGGCGAAGTCAGCCTCCATTCCTCACTCTAATGGTGGAGAGCTACTATCAAGCAACCAAGGATAAAAAGTTCCTCAGGTGATAGTTTGGCCTGAGCTGACGTCCTGCCAGCTGCATTATTATTCCTCAGACACACCTCTTCTCCTCCTGCAGAACAGAGAAAAAGCCTCGGTGCTCGTGTCTTTTTTTTTTTATATACCTTTGCTGTTTTGTTTTTCCTCACACCCTGACTCTTGTGTGTACTGATAATAAGGAATAGAAAGCATTTAGTATTTTATCACTTTTTTTACACGGTTTAGAGCCGCTTTACCGACTCTGGAGCGGGAGTACCAGTTCTGGATGCAGAACCGTTCTGTGGCTGTGAGAGTGAACGGGTCAGAGCATAAACTGAACCGGTATTATGTGCAGGTGGGCCTGCCCAGGTATGTTCAAAAAAACAAACAATAAATAAACAAAACCTAAATATGTGTATGTTGTATGCTGCACCTCATTATAAACTAACCACAACTTCTATTCTCACTAGGCCTGAGTCCTACACTGATGATCTGGAGTTAGCCCAAGGACTCACTGATGGTAATGTCTTATTAGTGTTCATTTTCTCTCTGGATGAATATTCCCCTTTCAGAGCAGCAGAAATATTACCCTGCTATGGTCATTTTATTCCATGAGAGAGAGAAAGGAAATGAATGTTCGTAATTGCTCCTTAGCAGAAGAAGTGGAATAAATTCCCGGGATTCAAGGATCATCTGTGCAAAATAAATTGCTCTGAAAGTACTTCAGCACCATGTTGTGATGAATATTTCATGTTCAACACAGCCTGTCTTTTGAATCCCCCCGAACTGTGTGACCAGACACTTTGGGAAAAACTGAAGAAAAAGTTGTTTTTTTTTGTTCACTAAAATATTGAGATTTTATATCTGAGAAACAAATAGACAAGGTCAAGTCTTTGTTTCCTCCTCCTTAAGAGACATTTGATTTGTAGTCTCAGAAGCTTTCATTACAAACACTGAAAGCGGTAATAAGCAATAAGTAAGGTCTTTTAACTGCTTTTTGTAACATAACAATAAGTAAGGTCTTTGAACTGCTTTTTGTAACATAACAATGAGTAAGGTCTTTGAACTGCTTTTTGTAACATAACAATGAGTAAGGTCTTTTACCTGCTCTTTTGTAATGTTAACAGACAAAGAGTAAGGTATTCTACCTGCTTTTTGTAAAGTGTCTCGAGATAACACTTGTTATGAGTTGACGCTATACAAATAAAAATTGATTGATTGATTGATTGATTGAAACAAAACATGTGTTATTCAGAGGCTCCATTTTTTTTATTTTTTCAGTTTTAAACAGGACAGTCATGAATAAGTAACCACATTTCAGATGCTGATTTGTTGTGGCTTTTCTGGATTCATGTTTTGTTTCTTGCCTCAGAGCGAAAGGAGCAGCTGTGGATGGATCTGAAAGCGGGTGCAGAGTCTGGCTGGGACTTTACATCCCGCTGGTACAGTGACAGTGACGGCACCCTGGGCTCCACCCGCACCAGTCAGATCCTGCCGACTGACCTCAACGCGCTGCTGTGCCTCAGCGAGAAAACTCTGGCTTCTTTTCACAGGATACTGGGTGAGTGCAGTGACCTTGGTGCTAACTTTGGATTGCACCCTGCATTTAGCTCCCAACTGGTTGTTATATAACAGTGATATGCTGTTTGCTGACAGGTGATGGTGACTCAGCTGCACAGTACGAGCAGGCTGCAGCCCGCAGACTGCAGGCCATAGAGTCCGTGCTGTGGGATGCTGAGAGGGGAGCCTGGTTTGACTTCAACCTGGTGACAAACTCCAAACACTTTGAGTTCTACCCCTCCAACCTGGCACCTGTCTGGGCTCAGTGTTATTCTCAGGCTGAGATGGGAGAGAGGGCGGTGCAGTACCTGAAGGTGGGTGGTCATGCAAGGCTTTGCATTTATCTCAGTTTACAAATTAGTGTGAATATATTAATTTTTTACTCCGTGGTTCAGTTCATCCGAAGGACAAGTAAACACACGTTCCCCTCTTTATGTTCCTCTAAAGAGATGAAGCTATTCAGAAACTTTAACTTCAACTTTATTGTCCCTATAGGGAAATTTGATTTGCAGCCAGGTGAAAAGAAGAAACATAGAAAATACTGGCACATGAGAACCAACATAAAAACATGAAATACATAAATAATAGAGTGAACCTACATCAAGGAACAGGAAACGGAGAATGTATCGAACGTCCATAAAAACATTCAAACCAAAATAAAAGTCATCAGTCATCAGGGTCATCATAAGTTAGGTAGGTACAGGAGGTTAGGTTTTGCTTGAGCAGGTGTGAGATTTTGTCTCTCACTGAATACTAATAATATAAGCACTGAAGAATACAACAATGACTTGTCTCACCAGGAACAAGGTCACTGAAGCACACTCCTCAAACTCTTAAAGGTAGCATGTGTTTTGATCCAGTAGATGTCGCCCTTGAGCACCATCATGAAACCAAAACAAACTGCTGTTTAGCGACACCTCAGCTATTCTGAAGCCTCTGCTCTGCTCCACACCTCCAATAAATGAATGAGAACGCTGCATAATTAAGAACCATTAAGCTCCAGCAGCGGACAAAATTGTCCTCGAGTCGAGCTGCAATCACCCGTGTCCTGCATTGTTGTATTGCACATTAATTTAAACCGATCTAAAGACACTTACGTAACATCCAAATAAGCAGTGAGTATGTTATTCTTCTTTTCTCTCCTTGACTCCAACAGCTTTTATACGCAAGGCCGTCCTGTCCATGTAAACATGATGTAAACACGGCTCCAACAACAACGCAGCCAGCGGGACACACGCTTCTCACTCATTGTAGAGAGTCATGACTCAGAGAGACATTTTACACAGGAGATACTTGATTTCTGCTGTTTTTATGTGTAAAATGTTGCACAGTCTCCCTTTAATGAGGACTACTTAATGGGAAAATATAGAAGAAAAAGCCATTGCAGCCAGAGACTTAACTACCCCTAGCCTCCATTAAAGAAAGGTGGTATAAGAATGTCAGAGCTGCTTAGAAAAGAGGACAAAGACTGCGTTGTGAGCAACTATTTTGGGCTCATTGAGAAACAGTCTCCTGTACAGTTACATCAGCTCCGTTTTAAATTCTATGATTTAACAGATTCAAATGTTTCAACGTTGTTTCCACTTGCGACAGTAAAAGTGGTATACAAATTGGAATAAATGATGCTAAACGTTTCCTTTGTTCAATAATTAATCATCCACTTTTGTGGGGTCCGGTGGAGGAGGCATCAGGCTAAACAAGTCGACACAGAGTCTAAAACACAATGAACATCTCTACGAGAGTTTAATTATAAGAAATATGACCCCTGAGTGTTTATCTTCATGCAATAAGTGTGATTATAAGATGAATAAACCTGAAGGATTTCCCCTCCCACGTGTTCCCAGCTGCTCTTCTTCTGTTGGTCACTCTAGCGAAAGTCTCTGCACTGTCAACCAAAAAGAGGGAGATGTATTTTTTGTGTTTTGATTTCATTAAGGCACCCTCTTGTTTTGCATTAATTTCACAGTTGGACATCTGTGTATGCAGATAGGGACCTTCTTCTGATACAGCCAATCAAAGCTTACAGTGAGCAGCAGCTACGTCAGAGTTTTATCTCGAGCAGAGCAGACAGCAGCAGCTTCACTACTCAGCAGCCCACATGAGCTTTCCCTGCATAATGCTCCCTATTATCAAACCCACAGACATAAACACACATGTTGACCTGCACCATAGCGTGTCATTAGAGCAGACAGACAGCATGCACTTCTGACTTCAGTCTGCAGGCTGAATCCCAAAATCAACTGTTAGTGCACAAGCCCGTTAACAAACGTGTGAAACGTGTCTGCAAAGGTCCTTTGGTCTCTTTGTGGTCCTTTTATTTTCATTCCTACTAACATGGTGATGTCGCTTACATGTAGGCTGTAGGGGTTCCCAAACTTTGCAATGCTAAGGACCCCTATATAGCATTACCCTCTTGTACAGACCCCTTCTCTTTCACATTTTGTTACATTTCTTCCTCCTTCCTGTACATTATGATGTCAAAAAACAAAAATAAGACATTCAACTTTTTAATTTATCTCCTTATTTATATTAAAAATGAACAATCTTATTCATTTCATTAAGTATCTTTTGTCATTTTGTGACTTACACAAATAAAGAGTAGAAGATAATTTAATATGCAGGGATTCATGACATCTCAAATCATTTTTTAACTGTAATTTTCACAAATTATGTTGTAAATAGATTTTTATTTTTGTTCCATTTCCCTTCCTCTTCCCTCCAAGTTTCTGGGACCCCCGTAACAAATCCCCCTGTGGGGTCAGCGCCCCCTCTTTGAAAAACACTGGGCTATAACAGAAGCTTTTTAGCTATGAGTTGTGCACAAACAGACTACACAAAGACAGTCCCCTTTAGCTGGCTCACATAGAAAAATATTTGATATCCAAATTTTTATTTTCTTTGTGGTGAAAGCCAAAACAAATAAGTTTACACTTTCATTTTTTAGAAGTGCTCATGGGTAGTCGATGAGGGAGGAGATATTGTTGAACCTACAGAGAAAAGATGTTACATTTGCTTGATGAGTTGTGCTCATGTGATCCCAGCAGATGGCGCTCACACACTACACTGGCTTTCATCTCCCCACGCTCGTCTGTGTGTGCTCTTTTCTTTTTTCATTTTCTGTACAGAGGAGCGGAGCCCTCCAGTTCCCCAACGGAGTGCCAACGTCTCTGAAGGAGTCCGGGCAGCAGTGGGACTATCCCAACGCGTGGCCTCCTCTGCAACACATGCTCATCGAGGGTGGGTGGAGAAAACACCCCGTCTGCCACCATGAGTCTCCTGAACCCGTACTGATGAGTCACATGTTGGTCAAGATGATGCTCTGTCGGCCTTTGCAAACTAATTTCTGAAAACACACAGTTTGTTTTATACATTTGGATTTTGTTTGATCCGACCTTAAACTTCCCTTTGTGTATTTTTAATGCAAGAAAGCAGTTTAGACTTTGGACCTTCAGGTTTTACATCAACACTCTTTAAGTTCCCCTGTGGAGCTTCTTTAAAACCAAACAACATCCACCTTCACGCTGAGATTAAAACAATACAAGACACCTTTAACTGGGTAAGAAAGTAGAACAAGTTCCATAAAGTCATCATAATTATGATTGGACTTCATATCCCACCACCCACAGACATCTGCCCTGGTGCTGCTCTACCACATTCACTGCAGCCTGATTCATTTTTTGCTCATTTTTAAGGACTTTCTGCCTCTCTCAGGCTGTACGAATCAGTGACACATAATCAGAGTGACAGGTTATTGGCAAATAAAAGTTGTTTCTCTCCTGTAGCTTTATGACCCCTGTCCTGCTGAGTTATTCTAAAACTTGGGGACTATGCATTTCTAGGAATCACACCTGTTGGGCCACGCAGGCTTAGAACAGTCAAGCAATGGACTTGGGCCTGCACCTCTGTAAAAGCCTCATTTGAGTTATTCACTGAGATCACAAAGAGGCCTAAAAGGACTCTTAATCCCAGAATCCCCTGCGGTACTTCACACCTACGTGTGAAGTAAAGGGGGGACCGGAACCTCTCTCTCCTCATTGGAGGGGACCTGAGGTAGACCCCCATGGAGCAGGCCAGGCTACAAAACTCCAAGACTTCCATTGCTCGCTCTCTTTCACGCGCTGACCTTCGGTGCTCGGAGACCCAAGAAGATCTCCTGTTTCCTGCAACAATCTTCCTTTGTTTTAAGTTTTGGCGCGCAGGTAATCCGCGGCCGGCAGTGTTCTAAATTCCGAGCTCGGATTGTCCAGTGAACGCATCTCAGTTTCTCGGAGAGCGTCAGACTATAACAGATTATCAGAAAGATAACGGTCTTATTCCGTCCTGCAACGAAAGGACATCAAGGGACATCTTTCCACTCGACGGAGAACCAACGAAGCCGCTCTCGCCGTAAGGGACCCTCGCCGCCATCAGACGCCTCTGCGCCATTACGCACAGAGATCTATACACTCGCGGCTATCCAGACGCCTCAGAGACACAGATTGTGTAGGGCCGAACTCAGTCTCTTTTAGACCTTAAGGCCACATTTAGGCCTTTGTTAGGTGTGTGCCATCGGAAGGGCGACCACGTGGGACGAAGTAATCTTCCCCCCCTTCTCTCTCCCTTTCATCCACACGTGCACACACCCAGGTCTTTGTTAGGTTTGCGCCATCGTGAACGACCACGAGGGTACGAAGCCATCTCCCCCCCTTTCTTCTTCCCTCTTCTCTCTCTCTCTCTCTCTCTCTCTCACACACACACACACACACACACACACACACACACACACACACACACACACACCCCTTCCACAAGCCTTTGCTTGATAATGTTTGTTGCTTAGATTAGTTTATAATAGTTATTTGTTTAATTAAGTTCATTGATTTTGGATTGATGTTGCTTTGTTTAAATAAATTCTGTTATAATTTAAGAGAGCAGTTGTTTGTGGTTACTGGTGTATTTACATTGTGATATAAGCTGGGTGCGAAGGCTTTGTGTACGGATTTCACGCCTTCAATTTATTAAATATAGTTATTCATTATTAATAATATTAGTAATTAAATAACTAATTTGAGACTGATTTGAGTGATATTTTGGTTATATTTACCTGATTACAGGTTGGTGCCCCAAAACGAGATTAAACATAGTTTAATGATATTTTATTTATATTATTAATAATTAAGTATAATTATTAAAGAATATAACCAAAGTTGACTTGATACAACCCCAACAAATGGTGCGCCCGTGTGAGGCCTTCAATAAACCAGCTTTATTGCACTGTTAATGCACAGTAATCCAAACTTAAAATCCTAAAAAGGATCCTTCGGAAGAAAATTATATTTTCTTTAAATTTTTGTGGTTTAAGCAAAGCAGACATCAAGCTGTGGCTTAGTTGTGTTTTATGTTGTTAGTTAATGGTTAAAGCCGTAACTGTTGTCCCCTTTGGGTCTATACAACAATTGGACATAATGATGCAGCTAGTGTGACTTTATCAAGGAACTTGATTTGTTGCATTAATCTAGATTTTGATCCTGAAGTATTCGACTAAAGGATTGTGGTGCTCCTTGTTGTTTGAGAGCCATTTGGCCAGATGAGAGTGTAACCTCATCATTGTGGCATAGCCAGCTGTCTGAGAGGTGTGAGTTCCTCCCTTCCTTTGAGGACTTGAGGTGTGAATCCCCTCTCCTATCTTCCAGGATAGACTGCAGTGATCAGTTGGGAAACTTAGATAAGATTTGCTCTTGTGTACCAAGACCCTAGGTGAGTCGGGGGCTGAGACTCCTTTTGGATCAGACGACGCAGCACTGCAAGAAACTGCTGCCGGTCTGACGAACCTCTCCTCAGAGGAGAGTGCCAACCTATATAGCTAGTCAATTAGCATTAGTGATAAGAAGTTAGAAGAGCTAGTTGATCTTATCAACCACAGAGCCAGGCTCACCCCTAATAAAGACAGAATGTATGCAGAAGACATACATCAACTATGGGCCAAAGCTCACTATGGATCAGACGATCCACCCCTTCAAGACGTAGTTGCTAATCTTATCCACCTCCCTATAGAGCAGCTCGACAGCCTGAACTCCTACACCCTCAGCACATGTGAAAAGAGACTAAAGGGCTTGGTTGAATATGCAAATCAACCAACTGGGAAGCCAACACGTACAGCTTCAGATGTTCTAGGCGAAATTCTCCTCCTTTATCAGCGCAAATCAAATGTGCAGAATGAGATACACCGGGAACAGCTAGCCCGGGTACTAGAAGAAGGACAGATCCTGCGGGACGACTTCGAAAGAATGCAGGATAAACTAAAGACCTTGCAGGAAAATTGCAAGGCCCTGCAGGAGGAGAATAAAACACTGCACGAAAGCAGCAAACTGGCCGAACAGAGAAACGAAGTGATATGGTACCCAGAGTTCAGGACAGGCAGAGAAGGACTTCAGCCCCCAGATCAGATGAGGAAACCTCAGACGAAGGATGGAGACTGAAACAAGCCCCTGGAGGAGGGAGACAGACATGTTGCAGGATCTGGAGGAGAGGGGAAGGCACCGCCGGGTCGACCCAGGCACAAAAGCGCCCACGTCCTCAGACCACCCGGTAAAGAGTAGGATGAGTAAAGAGGAAGGGCCCCCGCGTTCCGCATACGCTTTGAGCGAAGAGAACCCTCACCCCGCAGGATGAGAGGCTTTACTCCCCCTAGAGACAGGGAGGAGACACGGCCCAATTGGGCACCGAACGCTACCTGTCCCACGATAGACGGCCACGTCTGAGCCGAACACAAACCCCGCCACGGTTACAACCCTACTACCGTGACAACCACAGGGCTTACGATTCATCAGACGAATCGGACGACCCTCGCCAGCCTTCGGGTCAGGGCCTGCGAACCAGGCAGATAGAACCTCAGGCCAAAGATCTGAAGCGTTTTGACCCAGATAGCCCAGATTCAAGTGTTAACGATTACCTTAGAGAAGTTGACCATTGTCTCCTTGACCTGCCTCATGCGTCCTCACATGAAAAACTGAAACGGATCTGGAAGACTACGGCTAGGAGTGTCCGTGATTTCATGGGGACACTCCCACCAAAGGTCCGATCCTTGCAGAAAGGAAACAAATCTGTTAATCAGCACTTACAAACTGCCAAGCAGAAAGTGTTGGACATGCTTGAATTAATTCAGGGAGCACAGGTAAGCATGGAGCAAGACACATCGTCAGGATATGACTCTGATCCTGGACCAAGCCCCTTAAGAGATCAAACAACCCTGCTGAAAAAGCTCAGTAAAGAACCGAGCAGCCAGGATAACCCAAGGACTGAGGAAATAAGTCTAGTTTTCCCTGATTTTGACTGTGGAGCCCCGTTCCTTGGGGAAACGCCCCAGTTCTCTGACAACTGTGACACCCTTTCACACCTTCACAGGTTTGAATCACCACATAGGAAGGGGGGTGACTTCTCAGCCCCCAGAGGCAGAGATAACACCAGGCCCCCTCCTGCTACCTGTAGGTTCCCATTGCAGGATTCACGGCTAAGGAATATCCAAACCTCAGATGACTGGGATGGCTCCCTTCTACCCAGAGATCAAAGAATGCGCATAAGGCTCATTGAATCTATGGCACAGGATGTAGAGCGGTTTGATCCAGATAACTCAGACCTCTGCATCGATGATTACCTCAGAGAGATTAACCTGTGTCTCAGTGAGGTACCTGATGCATCCACAAGAGAAAAACTCAGGCTGATCTGGAAGACAACTTCCAAGAGTGTCCGTAACTTCACGACTACCCTTCAGCCTGAGATCAGATACCAGTACTCTGCGCTCTGCAATGCTTTGCGCCAGGAATACTCCACCTACATTGACCCTGCATCTGCCCTTCTTAGTGCTTTCAGTGTCTTGCATCAGAAGCACGAGGCCCCCAAAGATTATTACTGGCGACTTAGATCTGCATATTTCCAGGGACGTAAGGCTCCAGGTTTGGAAGAGAACCCAACTTTCAAGTCCATCTTCATGCACAATCTGCATGGCTGCGTGCGTTCAGATGTCACCCTGCATAGTCGTACACATCAGCTTAGTATGAAAGAGATCAAGAGATTCGCACAGGCGGTTTGGCAGACACGCTTACGCCACGTGTCACGTGAGGGCAACAAGCTGCCTTGTGCTAAGAATAAGAGACCATATCACCGGCAGAATAGAGAACAGAGCCAGGGGGGTGGGACTCAACCACAGAGTAGGTTCCAGCCTGGAGAACTGATCGCTACCAGATCCGAACGGAACTCTC